GATTGACCAATGAAACTCTCTGTACAATAAATGTGGGGCTGGGTCTCTGTCCCAGGCTTCCCCCCCCTATACTCTCCAGGGGGCTCATAGTTATTGGGCTGAGGAGTGCAGACACCTGTAGGACCACCTGTCAGGGCTATTTTCTATCTTCTTTACAGAGGACATTTGCTTCTGGGAGTGTTGTACTTTGAATCCAAAGAATTTAAATGCTGGGGAGAAGTCAATCTCTAGACTAAGTGGAGGAAGTAGGCTGCCGTGTCCTACCAGGGGGTCTTTCACCCTACCTTCCAACACATGAGGAAACCTCATTTCCATTCTCCATCTACTTCCACTCGGGTATAAATGACTGATAATCCGGCCACCTTACATTCATGTGCTCTCTACTTCAGCTTACATGACAGGCACGTTCAAACATGTCTTCAAGAGGACAGTCGAGATTTTTAACAACTGGCAGAGCATAGGCCAAGGACCAGTGAGGATAATTGCGGGCCATCACGTGGAGCAAGTCCTGGCCCCCCTCCCTTCCACTGTGCCAGGCATTACCCACAACTGCTGGTCCATGGGGAGGTTGGTGAGAGGCTCAAGGGAGGGGTGGGGCAACCAGGGCCAACAGGGATGAAGTCGGGGGAGGATGTGCTTCAAGGTGCTCTGGGCATTGGCCATTACCCACCAGTGTGGAATACCCCTGTGCTGAGGAAACTAAGTCTCTGTGAGGTTCCACAGCACCTCAAGCCCTCACAGCCAGTGTTTCTGGCAATCAGGGCTTTAGATCATGGTGCACCCAAGACAAAAGGCCCTAAGTGGAGGGAGGATGTGGGATTCCTGGTGGCCAGAGGACAGTGTGAGGGCTTAGGTCCCACCAGAGTTCAAGGTACAGCGTGTGGGGAAAAATAGAAAAAGGAACAGAAGAGGTAGGGATGTGTGTATGTGTGTGTGACTAGGAAGATGGTGAGTGGGTGGGGGGATTGGCAGAGGGACACTGAGAAACTGAGGGCAAGCTGGCCCTCACCCACAGTTTTGCTGTGGCCAGAACTAGTGTCCTGAATGACACCAAGAGATGATTTTTGTAGTTCTCATTGCCTCTTGCCCTTTATCTGAACATTGTTACCCTTGGAGGACTCCATGTGGCATCTGTGATTTTCTAAATGACTGTGCTTACTCATCAGGAGCTGCTGCTGAACTGTTGTTCCCCCACCCTCCTGCCAATCACTCAGTTGCCTGGCTAGGTAGAATCCTTAGCTCAGTAGAGTCTGACATCAGCAAAGTGGGTTGACATTGAAGTGGGGTCTTTTCCTGAAGAACACCAGGGGTTCCTGGTGCTAAATAGGAATTTCAGTTTGCTTTTGTGTGGATGGAACCCCAAATGTTGGCCAGCATTTGCTCCTAACTTTGGGTACCCCTGCCTAATAGAGGCCAGGCAAGATCCACATCACCTGTCCTTCTGGGAAAGCCCAGGCCCCTCAAGTTCACAAATAAAACTCTGATCACTTGGGAAAGGAGGATTAGACTCATGGCACCTGTTCTTCTCTGGGTCAGCCCAGAACTGGAGACATAGCATTTGGGTCTCCAGGAGGGTTATGGGGAGTGTCTGTGATGTGGGACTCTACAAGCCTCTCAGCTTGGCTTCTCTACAGATCCCCCAAAGGGAACAGGAATGAGGCTGGCACAGGCTCAGCTACCATGTCCATGATAGCACCAAGTGTCAGGTTTCTTCGGCTGCCATTACCCAATCTTCGTGCTTCCTCCCAACAAAGGGAAATAATAGGCGTGAGCCTTGTCCCAGGTCCAATGTGACAAAATGAAAAATTAAGTGTTGAGGCAAGTGGCCTGGCCTGCAGAGCAAGATCTTTTTCCCTGTGCATCATAGTGATGCATTTGCCACAAACCTCACGGAGCAGGCTGACTTTGTGATAAGAAATTAAAAAACAAAATGCAAATTCTGATCCTTTGGAGAGTCATCTTTGCCTGTATTTTTCCTTGCTTGTCCTTCGGTCTCTGCCAATTTAGTGTCAGAGACAACGTGTCACAAGATTCCTTTTAAAATTGGGCTCTGGCTGGTGCTGCTTTTCCTACCCACTGCCCATCTGCTGGTTCTACAGGCAACCTTGGTGCTGGGTAGGGTGGGGGAAATCGCCAGAGAGCTCTTAAGTAAGAACTGAAATATTTGACTGGCCCTGATCCTAACAGAGGCAATGTTATTACCCTAAATGTCCTGGAAACCCTGTTGCCTCTGGCATGAGAAGACTCCAGGCTTGGTCATTCCCGGACAGCCGTCTGCAGCAAGCCTTGGCGTCCTTCTGCAAGTGGCTGTGATATGAGTCATGGGGGTAGTCTCCAGTGAGGCTGAACATGGTGGGCACACAGTATCTTCCCTGATCAGGGGTGAGGCCAGCAGGCTGGGGATAGCCACTGGATCCCCTAATGTTTGTGGTGGGAACTGAGGGATCATATTTGCAGGAAGGACAGAGAGACCCCAAGAGTTTAGGTCATCTAGTTAGGGTCTCATCAATAGAGGCCCTGGTGTTAATTGCTGGGCATGGCCTGTAATATCAAAACCAGACATTGCTTTAGGATGGAAAGAACATGCTAGATTCTTTCTTACCATCCCTTTCATTTATTTGTATTTTATATAAAAAAATGATCCCTCTCATTTCAAAGAGCCCGTGAAGTCTAGATATATAATTCTTTTCCTTTGTGAAAAATCTTCCTCCTGTTCAATGAGGGAGCCTCAGACACACTCTTCTGGTGGTTTATTAATGTCACAAAGCACACTTTATTTTTATTTGAACTTGCCAAATGTTCTATACAAGGCAAACACTTCACCATGAAATATTTAAATTAAAAATAAATAAGTTAATTCCATCCTACATAGATCTTCAGCTGCCACATACAAATAAAAGACATCAGTTATAAATTAAATAAGTTAAAATAAATAGTCATAAGAAACTCTATGTGGTCCAGCAAGATCACCTGTTTGTTCCCTAATTTTGTTCTGGACCCCAATTTCTACACTGTGTAAGACATTGGACAGTTCATTGAGATTAGCCCCTTGATGAAAAAGCCCTTGAGCACAAGTTTCCAAATCATGTTTGGGTGCCAGGATCAGATACTGGGAGTCTAGCACAATGGCTGAAGGCAGAGATCAACAAGGTGAAAGCCCAGAAGCCCAGGCCTCTTACCCACCACCACACCTCTGGGAATTTACCTGGAGATACAGAAACAGGAAATTCAAAGAGCACAAAGCAAGATGTTACCACAGTGCAACAGTCAGAAATATCCTTTGAGTCTGAGATGTAGAATGGTCACACTCTAGTTTGTACAAAAGACATAGCAATTTCCAACACAGTCATAGGCTAAATTTTACTACAGAATTTCTGATTTCATTAAATAGGTTGAGCTTTAAACCTCTTAATTAGAAAACAAGCCTTCTGGAGGCAGAGTTCAGGTCACAGAYGAGGACTATTCAAGGCCTGTCACTAATCCCCTCCACCGGCAAGGCATCACTCATCCATCACTGACTCTTTCAATTCAGATCCCTTCTCCACACACTCTAGGCAGCCTCTACCAATCCGTTAGCTTTAATGATTGAGACAAAAACTCATTACTAACCCTAGTCCTTCTCTATGTTCTGAACTCTTTCATGTGAAGGAGTATGTATAACACAGGCTTTGAAGCTGGACACCCATGTATGTTAGGTGCCTTCAGAATAATCATTTAACATTTTTGAACTGGCATCTACATATGAAATGGATAAAGCCACCTAATTCGGTTGTTAGAAAGTTTAGGATAATTTCTATAAAGTGCTCAGTATCATGCCTGGCACATAGTAGGTATTTAATAAATGATAATTATTATTACCATTACTATTATGTGATCATTTTAAGGCTACTGATGTTAAAAATGGAATTGGTGATGACATTTCCATTGACATAATATTATATATTAGGTTAAACCATATGGATATTCAATTGTTTTTGACCAATAGAAATGGCAATGTCCCCTGGTTCAGTCCAATATGCAGTGGTCTAATTCATTCAGATCCCTTACATGTTCTAACTTTATCAGACTCTTTGCTTCATGGTTGTCCCCAGAGACATGTGCCTATCATTTAAAAAGTTCCTTGAATCAGTTGCTAGAGTAAGCACAGCAGAGAAACTGCTGAGAGAATTGGAGGATCTGGTGAAAGATCCCACCACCTCATATGTCTATTCACATAACCTGGGGARGCCTTGATTTCCCCATCTGTAGAGTGGGAATCGTTTTTTTCCCCCCCAACTGGGGCTTTGTGATAAGAAGAGATAACGGATGGGAAAGCACTTTCAAAAGTTACAATCATTGGACCAAAGCAAAGTATTATTAATTCTACTAGATTATGCCACTTAAGAAAACATTAACATTTAATTTTACTATTTTTTCTATAGAAAAAAACTGCACATAAAAGAACAGAGAAGTCATGCAATCATGCCAAATGACCATCAGAAATGATTTTGATGATACTGTCAGGTAGATATTAGAAGTATTAAGTAGATACATACATAGTGCTTTGTCCTTAGAATTTGTACCTCATCAAGGTGAAATAAACATGAAATGGGAAGAGTGAGAACCATGGGGTTTACAAACCCCTCAAAGGTCAAGCTTTTACATTCATGCCAGAAATTATACATTTTGGAAAAACCCACGAGGAAGACAGAGGGATTGCCTTTGTTCTCCCCTGTAGATTTTTAAAATGGGCTGGCAAAGTTTGCTTTTGGTATAGTTATGCCTAAAGATAGGGATATAAACTTTATGACCTCCCAAAGTAACTTTCAGACCCACAGTTTGATTTTGCCTTCAAGGGACCGTTCCTTTCCCACACCCTAAGCTGGGTGATTGGCCAGTGAGGGAGGATGATGTTTGGACCAGCTACTAGCACAGGTGAGTGTGGCTCAGTCCCAATCCTCAAGTTTTCTTCTCTGTCCTGTGAACCTCGGCCAATGCAAGGCACCTGGGAAGGGTCACCTCTAGTCAGCCTCGAAGGCGCTGTTGGTGGCTCCCACGTATTCAGACTTCTTCTTGTGCCTGGTCCACATTTTCCGGAGGATGCCAGGGACACCGCAGGAGGCACTGCCTGTCAGTGGCAGGGAAGCCTCTGCACCCTGGGGGAGAGTTGGATACTCTTCCATCATCTTCTTGAGATGTCTGGATCTAAAGAAAAGCCAGGGGTGGGTAAGGTAATCACTTCACTGAACCAGACACTCTCCTCCTCTGCTTCTCCATCCTGTGATTAGGCTCTGCAGAGCTGAAGGGTTTTGGGGGGGAGACCCACAAGAAAATATCCCCCATGGGGAGGCTCCTATAGGGTATGGGGAGGACATGACTCTGGCACAGTGAGTCATGGGATCTCATGTTCTGCTCCTGTCCCCATCTTTGGGGCCTGACCTTGTAAAACCTCCATTTTCCCATCCTTCCCACCTCCACATGAGAAATCTTGAGAAAAGGGCAAATTCCCCAAAGCATCAGCCACTGAAAGAGTGTTTGCCTCGGGGTTGAATCCTACTTTCCACTTACTAGGGGACTCAGGCAAGTGACTTAACCTTTATCAGCCTGCTTCCTCCTATGCAAAGTGGGGATAATTTCACCTAATTCCTAGGGCATTTGTGGAGAGGAAAATGAGGTAATTAAGCATCCCTGTGCATGCATGTTGTAGACCTTCAATAAATGTGCATCTCCTGAGGYGTTCCTTTTAGGCAAAAAATAGAAGTCTTTTCAACACTGAGGTCCAGGAATGAGAATAACTGAGTTGACAGAAAGAGTCATTTGAGAACCCTTTGTATGCAGCTATGTGGACCTGAAAATTGACCTCTGTTAAGGCACAGTGAAGTTTGTGCTGGTCTACTCTAACTTAGCTGTCAATAACAGCTATCACCACTTAGAAGGATTTGTAAACAAGAATGTAATACAAGCCAAATGATGATTTTTTTAAACTTTTCTCCAGTTAAGACCCAATACATTGAATGACACATAGCTTTCATTTTTTTTTTTAAACTAAGGATTGAATCCATGGTACTCTACCACTGAGTCACACCCTCAGCCCTTTTTATTTATTTATTTATTTTTATTTTGAGACAGGGTCTCACAAAATTGTGGGGGCTGGCCTCAAACTTGTGATCTTTCTGCCTCATCCTCCCAACTTGCTGGGATTACAGGCRTGTACCTGGCTATGATTTGGCTTTTATAATTTATATTTAAATATGGGTTGTTTCCTCCCAAAAATCATGTTAAAATTTAATCCCCATTATTAGACATTAAGACACTTCTCAGAAGAGGATATACAATCAATCAACAAGCATATGAAAAAATGTTCAACATCTCTAGCAATTAGAGAAATGCAAACCAAAACTACTCTAACATTTCATCTCACTCCAGTCAGAATGGCAGCTATTATGAAGACAAACAACAAGTGTTGGCGAGGATGTGTGGGGGAAAAGGCACTCTCATACACTGCTGGTGGGACTGCAAATTGGTGCAGCCAATCTGGAAAACAGTATGGAGATTCCTTGGAAACCCTGGAATGGAACTATCATTTGACCCGGCTAGCCAATTCCTCAGTTTATACCCAAAGGACTTAATAACAGCATACTACAGGGACACAGCCACATCAATGTTTATAGCAGCCCAATTCAYAATAGCTAAATTGTGGAACCAACCCAGATGCCCTTCAGTAGATGAATGGATAGGGAAACTTCGAATAGTGTGAAAATACTTGGTGTACAACCAGTGACTTGAAAAATTGTGCTCTATATGTGTAATATGAAATGAATTACATTCTACCATCATGTATAACAAACTAGAATAAATAATTTAATAAAAAAAGCACAAGGAATAAAAGACATTAAGAGATGGGGTAGGCAATACTTTTTTTTTGTATTTTATTTTATTTTATTTTTTTTTATTATTTTTTTTTATTTACCCCGTATACAGCTTGCAGAATCACATCAGTTACACTTCATTGCTTTACATATTGATAAACTCATGTCTGTTGTATTCTGCTGCCTTTCCTATCCTTTACTATCCCCCCTCCCCTCCCCTCCCCTCCCCTCTTCTCTCTTGGGGTAGGCAATACTTTAAAGAGGTAATTAGGGCTCTGCCTTCAGGATTAATTCACTCGTGCAATTAATGGGTTATCTCTGGATTAGGTGTGCCAGAAAAACAATTTGATGGGCTGGGGTTGTAGCTCAGTGGAAAAGCGCTTGCCTAGTATTTGTGAGGCACTGGGTTCAATTCTCAGCACCACATACAAATAAGTAAAATAAAGGTCCATCAGCAACTAAAAAAATATTTWAAAAAAAATTTGGCTAGGTCTCTTCTACATTCCCTATCTCTAGCCATATGATATCTTATTGCCAGGGTCTCTGCCAGCCAAAAGGCCATCAGAGGCAGCCCCTTGACCTTGGCTAGTGCCATGAACCAAATGGCTATTTTCTTTATAACTTAACCAGTCTGCAATATTGTGTTATTAGTAGCAATAATAATAATAATAATTAATGGACTAAGACAATATTTTCACACGTGGTCTTTTGGATGTGTGCTGAACACTTTCCCAAGAACATGGCTTCCCAACTACTGGTTGAACTTTCTTGAACAATGTTAACAGCAGTTTGAGCTAAACTCTCAGCACATGATTTCATTCAGCTCTCACAATAAGCACTCTGGATGGGTATTCCTGTCTTTCCTGTTTTTCTGCTTGTTTTTAAATAGATGAGGGTGTACAGGGCAGAATAACTTGCCTGAAGTTGGAGTGGGTGGAACTGCTAGGCTAGAAAGCAGATGAATTGCAGATTCTTGCTGTCTTCATGCATTGAAGGCAGTGAGGAGGCATTGAGGAATAGCCACTCCTATTACCCTAGCTGCTGGCTCTGGATTAGAGTTAACAGGAGCACTGGGGTTATAGTTTGGTTTGAAACCACAGTATTTTATACATTTCTTTACCTGTGGGCAGGGGCCCCTAAATAAATTCATGAGGCATTTCTGACATCATTGGGTAAACAGGAGGTTCTGAGTATGGCTTGCAATTACATTCATCTAATTAACCAAAAACCCTCCCAAGTGACAATTCTTTAAGCCTAAAGACTGGTGTTAATGAAGTGGAAACCATGAAAAACATTTCGGCTTAATCTCAGGGAAACAGTTGATGAGGCGCTACCCAGACCCAGGATTATGTCCCTCATTACAAGGTAATCTACAGCTGGCATGGGTTTTGTTTTAGTATTTTGAGAGTCTGAAAACCAGGCCACCTGTTACTCTCCTGCACAAGACCAAGACTGGGTGGGGAGCCCTGCACCTGGCAGGGCTGGAAGGCACYGTACTTACCCTCTCCCCAGAACAGCTCCGTTCTCTGAGCCTGTGGCTGCCACCTCTGCTGCAGCCGGAGATTTCACTGAGATCCGGGCCACTGGAGGAATCTGTGTTGTGAGGAAAGGAGAGGGAATTGAGTAGTATCCATGTTCCACCCTGGGAACTACCACCTACCTGGGCAATAGCTGTCTTTTTACCCTTGTCCAGTATTAGCCCTAAAAAGCCTTGTGATAACTGAGCTGGGCTCTACCTCTAAAGTCTGATTCAGCAGATCTGATGGGTGCCTGAGCATCAGCATTGCAAACAGTCTCCCAGATGCTACTGGTCCTGGGATCCCACTTTCAGAACCACTGGCCTAGAGATACTTGAGTGTCTCTCAATTGAGTGCCGCTCAGTCTTACACGAGAGCTGTCACCCTCCCACCAACATCATCTGTGTCGGTTGTCAAGTCCTTCAGATTCTGGCTTGGAACAAGCTGCCTACACTACAGTCAGCCTCTCCAATTGCTCTGCTACAGCCTCCAAGGGACAGTTACCTCAGATCTCCTGGTTTGTGGATCAGACCTTCCCTACATCCTGGAATTGCCATGACTTTCCACAGCAGGGCAGACTGAGGCCAACTCTGAAGCCGTTTCTGGAAGGTTCCACAACACTGGATTCAACCCTATCTATGGCAGCTCAGCCTTCTGCTATTCCCCATGTGTCATTAGATCCACTTCCTGTTCCAGCAGGAGTGGACCTGCATTCCTTAACGCTATTCACAGCTCTGTATCTTTTCCTTCACTCTCTGGATCAAGGTCTCATCTCTGCCTGTCCTTCAAGGCAACTTTTCCCAGGAAGCCTTCCTTCAGCCTGGTGGACCAAGCAGCTCTTTCTCTGTCTCCAACTCTCCAGAGCACTATCTGTGTGACACACTATGGCATCCCACCCACTCTGGTTTTAAGATTCTCTATTTGCTTCATATATTTGTCCAGTCTCTTAGTCTATAGAAAGATTGACAGGTGAGTGGCAGAGTCTGGGACTTAACCTATTTGGTTAGCCCCTCTCAGCCCTTCTACAGGAGGTGGTAAGGACTCAAGGAGCATGTACTGAATTGAAAATTAACTGATGGCCTAACCAGAGCTAAGTCCAGAGGTTGCTTGTCAAAGGACACACATTATGCTTTGTTCTTCCACCCCAAGCCAGATCAAAGGCTTCAAGTCATCACATTCCTGAAATCACTGGGAAATTCCAGGTCAAGGGCACTGCTGTTTGCCACCTCCTTCTCGCCTGAGCTGGCCAAAGGTTGTAGGCAGAGTTACTGTGCCACCTTGTGGTCCCTCCCAAGCACATCCTCCGCTTGGTGCCAGTGGCCCTGCGAATGTTCACCCACCGCTCCTTAGCTTTGGAGGAAAGGCCCTCGTTCACACTCCTTTCCCCCTCTTTCCTTGTCCCATCTCACCCAGTGCATGTCTATATTGAATCAGATTGAATTGTGTGGGTTCTGGATTGCTCTCCTGCCCTAGGGTAATGAACTGTGGGACTCAGCCTCACTGTTTCCAGGCCTGTAGGAAATGCTGCCTCTTCCTCCTCTTCATCACTATCACCTCATACCTATCACTACCCTATACCACCCCGGCTCCCTCTGGCCAGTTATTGCAGCTGCTTCTCTGCCAAGGGTGCTGTCTGAGCCTACCCGAAGGCCTGGGGGCAGGTAATCCAAGGTCATGAGCTACTCACTTTTCCCTTAACCTTGATCCAGCTCAGCCAAGGGTAGCTGTTCTGTCACAACCTAAGGCATCAACTGCCTGGTCACCCCACTTTCCCCTGAGTTTAAGTTTGGAGAAGCCCTCCAGCAACCTGACAACAACTTTCCCCTCCTCTCCTYTGTGTGGTTTTCCTAGTACACTGATGACTTAAATTAGATCCCTGGATTAGGTATCCTGCCCAGACCAAGAGCCGTGTACCCACATCTCTGTCCAATTTGTTCCATAGAGAGGAGGGGCTGGCCAGACAACCTCTGGGGTCTCTTTGAATTCTCACATTGTACCATCTATACATCTTGGGAGCTGACACTGAAAGGGCCTGGGGTGCCAGATCTGACCTCAACTCCAGTCACTGCTGACCCTGCAAAACCAGAGGGAACCCAACATTCAAGCCCAGAAGGTGACATAGGAGAAGAGATAGATGTGGAGATGTACCACCTGATTCCCGTTCAAGGAAGGACAGAGGGTGAATATGAAGGCTCTTGGCTTCTTTAAGTGTGCCTCAGCTGCAAAGGGTCACCTTGCCCAAGGGGCAACCCACATGCTATGCTGAGGTGGAGGGAAGAGGGGCCATAAAAGCTTGACCATTTTGGCTCAATTCAGATTGACCTGGTTGGGGAATACTTATCCTAGAGTTCCCGGACAGGAGATGTTGGATTTGCATCATGGTTCAGCCACTCCCTCCACTAAACCCTGCCTCCTTACACCTGTTACTCATTCCTAATATGCATCTTGCACTTCAAACTCCAAATCCCAGAGTGTGCTTTGAGAGAACTTGACCTTTAGCAGATGCCTCAGAAGTCTCTATACTGAGATGGCTGGTTGTTGTGGGCTGTTTCTTTCACACTGAAGCCTAAACCCCAATGGGATGATRTGGGAAGGTGGAGAGTATGAGGGGTGATCAGGCTTACATGAAATCATCAGGGTAGAGTGCTGTCGGAGGGATTAGAACCCTTATAAGAAGAAAAGGAGATTCCAGAGATCTGTCTCCAAACACAGAGGAAAGGCTGTGTGAGCACATAGCCAGAAGGCAGCCATCTTTACTCTGGGAAGAGAGCCCTCACCACAACCTGAATCTGCTGACACCTGATCTTGGATTTCCCAGCCTCCAGAAATGTGAGGAAGAGTTGTTTCAGCCCCCAAGTCCATGCTATTTTGTTATAGCAATGCAAACTGACTAAGACACTAAGGTTTTGTGTTTTTTGTGGTGTTTGAGAATCTTACATCTCTTTACCCCTCTTGCTGTACCTGCCACTTAGCTATGTTCATCTGGTGGGGCTTATGCTAAAAACCAGTTTCCGTCCCCCCACCCCCATATAAGAGCTGTCTGCTGGGTCACAGCTTCTGATTCCCTAAGAACTGAATTTCTTGATGAAAAGAGAAGCAGTCAGTGATGTGCCACAGGCACACAAACCAAAGTCAATTAATAGCCTTTAGGAGCAAAGACCGAAATTCCGCTTTTCTAATAATCCTCAGGCCTGGGCAAAGGACACTCAGTCTCTCTTCATGGCTCAGGAGAAACAGAGATAGTGATAAGTTTAAAGCACAGCAACTCTAACTAACCAGGCTTATTTTTTACTTACCAGCGATTTTCCATATGCTCGATTCCCACACAGATTGGATGCTTTGGGTTCAGAAATCCCCACTGCAAAGATGAACAGAGAAGATATTACTCAGTGGTACTCAAAGTTCTGCCTCCCCCTGGTTCTGCATCAATTATTTTTTTTTAGCCAATCAATCACAGAAGGGAATTTCTCAAGCAGCAAAACCAGAGAATAAGGTCGGGTTATGATCCCTGCCAAGTGGAGTTGCCTGCATCCCTGATACTCTTCTGGAGGTGGGGGACATGGGCTGGAACTAAGATCTACATACCATCCAGGTGTCAATGAAGGCCCATCAATTGTAACAATCATATCACTTGGTGGGGGATGCTGGTAGCTGGGGGAGGGGTGCATGTGTGGAGGGGGGAGGGGTGCATGTGTGGAGGCGGGAGGGGGACATATGGGAAATCTGTACACCTTCCGCTGAATTTTGCTATGAACCTAAAACTGTTCTAAAAAAAATAGTCAGTTTCTGAAAACCACACATGTGGAAGCACTTGGCACTATGTCTGACTGCAGAAAGTGGTCAGAAAATGTGCCCTCAGCTCCTCCTTCTTTTCTAAGGCCTCACCTCAGGTCACAAGAGGGTAGAGATGATCAGGTCTGTATACCTGGGATCAATTTGGTAACCTGGAACTTCTGGACACCTCTCTAGAAATGAGCAAGAGAAGTTGCATCTGCAGTAGGAAGTTCAGCCCATTTGGTGGAAGAACTGGAGTTCACTGGTTCAGAATTCTGAGATATTGGCTACATAAGATGAATGTGCAGAGAATCTTCTAATACGCTTATTCTAGATGCCCTAATCTACTTGTAATTTCTACCAAGCCTGCAACAGCTGCTTCTTTTTTCCTCTTTCTTCTTCTTTTGCATTATTGGGGATTAACCTGGTGGCACTTACTATTCTACTAAGCTACATTCCCCAGCCTTTTAAATTTTATTTTGAGAGAGGGTCACCAAGTTGCTGAGGACCTTGCTAARTTGCCGAGGCTGGCCGCAACATAGCAATCCTCCTTCCTGAGCTTCCTGAGTAACTATAAATTTTAGATGATCATGTTGTTGCTTGGAATTCTCAGAACGACCAATTATTTAATTATTTTTATTTCATTTTGCCTAAACAAACTCTACAGAATTCTTATTTATTTATTTTGCTGTTCTAGAGATCAAACCAGGCCTTATGTACCTAAGCAATCACTCTATCACTAAGCTACACCCCCAGCCCCAACTCTACGAAACTTAATTGATCTAAGGGGGTTACCTTTTAACATTACTGATATCAAACTTAACGAATGGTGCATGTCTATTAATAACAGGAGCTCATAGCTTTGTCTCTGTATGCCAGGCACTGTGCTGAGCATAAATCATGAATACAATGAGCCCTCCATAGTCACAGGTTCTTCATCTGTGGATTCAAACACCTATAGATTGAAAACACTTTTTTTTCTGTACTGACTATAAATAGATCCCCCCCCTTTCTTTCAGGGATTGAAGGGACGCTTAACTATTGAGCTACATCCTCAGCCCATTTTATTTATTTATTTATTTTTTGAAACAGAATYTTGCTAAGTTGCTTAGGGCCTTACTAAGTTGCTGAGGCTGACTTCAAACTTGTGATCCTCCTGCCTCAGCCTCCTGAACTGCTGGGATTACAGTGGCCAGCAGAGTAGACTTAATTTCTTGTCATTCCCTATAACATATAGTAAAGCAACTTACATAGCACTTATATTATTAAAAGTAATCYAGAGATGATTTAAAGTATGCTGGAGGAGTATAGGTTATCTGCAAATATGACACCACTTTATATAAGTGGCTTGAGCATCTGTGGATGTTGGCATCCAAGGTGAATGGACCTCAAAATTGATGCCTCATGGATACCAAGGGACAACTGTATCTCATTTAATCCTTACTGCAACACTAAGACACAAATATGATAGTTTGCATTTTCTAGTTGAGCAAACTGAAACTAGAGAGATCCATAACCATTCTAAGGAAGTCATTATGGAGTAGTCAAGAGATCTCTTTGGTGGTCCTGCAGGCCTAGGGGAGGCTTGGCCAAAGGGCCCAGCCTGGTAGGAGGAGATGGCATTTTTTTGTTTTGTTTTGTTTTAGGTGGACACAATATTTTTATTTTATTTTTATGTGGTGCTGAGGGTTGAACCCAGTGCCTCCCATGTGCTAGGCGAGTGCTCTGCCTGGAGCTACAACCCCCACCCAGAGATGGYATTTTCCAGGTGGGGAGAGACAGGAAAGGTAAGCCATAGAGCGAGAAGTGCCAGTGAAAGTCCAGAGAGGCGGAATATGAGAAGTGTCACAGAATTACACTGCGGCTCAGTCTATCTACCTAACTGATAGAAAGGTGGGGACAGGAGTGTCACTAGAGGTGGACTGGGAGAGGCCAGGTTGGTCTAGAGGGAAGGAGGGAGGTGCTTAAAGCACAAGGATGATGAGGGCAGATTTCTGCTCCAGGAGGACCACGCTGGTAGCCTTGTAGAGGGAGGGGGACGATATTTTGAGGCCCCTCACGGACAGTGTTCTCCACATACTTGAGATTCAGGGAATCTCATCCTGCACCTTGAGGTAAGTACAACAGGGCAAGATGAGACCTACCTAGTAGTTGACAGGGTTTGTGTTCAGCGTATAAAGGAGTGGGGCAGAACAAGAGGGTGTTAAGGACCTCTCTGGCTCCAGACTTGCTGGCATGATGAATAGCAGCTCCTGCTGAGAAAGCAGCTTTCCACTTGTCTAAACAAGTTGGTTCTGAGATACTCTGGATTATCTCATTCAGTCCCACAGACAGCTGATTTTTCCAGTCCTGGGAGGTGAGAACTATCTCTTTTCCAAGCACCTGAGGTCTCAAGCTGAGAGCTCCCTGCCTAGTCTTCTGACTTCAGAGTCCTTGAGGTTCCCAAGCCTCCTCAAAGCATCTCTCTCCCAAGTAAAAAGGCCACAGCATCTAAGAGCCTTCTCCTATGGCTCAGACAAAAAAGCAAGTCCCTAGATCCAAGATCCTCAGAGATATACAGCTAAGTCCCTAGATCCAAGATCCTCAGAGATATACAGCTAAGTCCCTAGATCCAAGATCC